ACATTATAATTCCCTCCCAGATGTGGACAGCTGTGAGCTCGATGATCGAACTCATTTTCGATAACAGTCTTCTCTGATGATCGAGCCTCGATCATTAGCAAAGACAATTTCTCTCATGTGTATAACAACTGCGATAATCTCCACTGCTCTCTCTGTGTGTGTGCCAGTGCTTCCTCCGGTTCACACACACCATCAGATTACTTAGATTAGCTGCAACTCAGCATTGACCCTCACGCTACGTTTCACTGAGACACGTCACCTTACACTCGAGCTACACAACAACAGAGATCCCTGCTGTACAGCAAACCTGTGTCTGAGCCATAGACTGTATATAAGGTCTGAGCCCAGGCTGCAGTGTGGTCAGCTGTGGGGACTCTGGCTGAGGGCGGTGGGAGAATGAATGACAAGGTAACTTAGCTGCGTTGTGTCGCTTTATCAAAACAGAAGAGATGCAACTAAATATTAGTATTAAGGAGGAGACACAACCGAGCAGCCATTTAAGTTGAAAGCACACTGAACACACAGCACTGCAGGTTGTTAGCTGAACGCTGTCAGTCTTTGTTATCGTGTTTTTAGACCCACAACTTCAGAGTAGCTAGCTAGCTAGCTGCCCCCGAATCAGGCTGTCAGTCAGACCCGGGAAACGGAGCCTGTCGCGCCGGGAAGTCTCGCGTCTCTCCTCCGGGCTCATACTCACTCTTGCCGGGTCTCTGTTGTTTTAGGGTCGTCGCCGCCTTTCTCCTCTTTCGGTGTCCGAGCTTCGGCGGAGATGTTCGAGGTGTTTGCGTCCTGTCGGCTGCCTCGCCTGCTGCGCTGTCGAAGCGCCTTGGCCGCCATGATTACAGACGATGCTCCCGAGTCGGGCTTCGTTCATTTTCGTCTCTGTCCGGTCACTGACAGCGATCGAGGCTTTGAGGAGCAACATCTCTGTCTGTATTGTTTGGCAGAAGTCATGGAGCTCTTATTATATATATGTTCTGTGTTAATAAATATCAAACATATATATTTAACCAACCTCTACTACAATTCAACATAAGAAATGTTGGATCACAAAGTAGAAATTCACAAATTAAAAAATTAAAAAAAGCAGTTGTTCTTTCAATTATACAAATTCTGCTTGTAAACTAAATGCTAACATTAACAATCGAATAACATCTTCTCTATTTTCCTCATAATCAGCATTAAATCAGGTTGTTCACTCCAGGAAAGTAAATTAAATGCTAGTGAATTATAGACAGGAACACACCTTCATGTCTCAAGTACATAACATCATTAGATGAAACTAGCTTTGCTTGTTTCAGAATATGTTAAACTTCAATACAAAAATACTTCGATTCTCCGTCGCATCACACACAACATGTATGATTATAACTACTTAACAATAACTCTTGACAGACCACACATTCATGTTAAATTACTGGTTTATTTTATGATAATTTAAACACACACAGAAACATAGAATTCCAATCACTTTCAAATACCATCATCAATGCATCAGCTATTGTAAACACCATTCAATGACAGTTCTGTGGATTAGATGCTTGCATCTTGCGTAGCAGTCACAGACAGACATGGACTAGTAATGATAATATCTCCAATAATATCTCCAATAATAATACAAATAAGAGATTGAATCCCTGCTCATCCTGTTGTTCCTCTTATTGATATGTAGCTACCTGATGGTGACTCGCAACCGAGAGGAAAGTAAAGACTCCAGGTGTTTGTGAAACGTGAGGGCTTGTGTGTGTGACAGAGCGTGTGTGTGTGAGTGGTAGATGAGTCTGTAGCAGTAACTGGTCTGGCTCAGGTCGGGATGCGAGAACTTGTCGATGAGTTTAACTTGCTCCACGGTTCCCTGACTGGCCTCTCTGACCACGGCGTGGAACTTCTTCTCCTTCCATGTCGGCCCTGTCCAAAAGCTGATGTCAAAGTTGAAGTGCTCGGGGAAGAGGGAAAATGGCTGGAAGGAAGTCCCAGGTGGTGTGTGAGGTCCAAATTGTTTTATGAAGCGTTGGTCGTGTGACCAAAGCAGCCGCCAGTCGGGAAGGGAAAACAGAAGCACGGCCAGAAGGTCCAAATTTAGGGACAGAGCAATGCTGACATGGCTCGTTTTGTCATCTGCATTGCATGTAAATGCCTTACCAACCAAACCCATTGGCTGTGCCATTAGACGCAGACCTCCCTCCTCTGTTATCAGAGAGACCCCATACGGTGCGAGCAGCGTCTCCAACCTTTGTCCAAGAGATCTGATTGGTTCACAATCCGAGGGGAAAACACCTCTGAGGAGAAGCTCGTGAAAAACAGGCAGAGCCCAGAGGTTGGTGGGGACGCTCCTGAACACCAGGTCGCTAGTGCCAAATACCAAGCTATTTATACCATTAGAGACACCAAAGGGCTCCTCCTGCTTATTTTCATCAACACTTTTACTGTCCCTACCACTCCCTGCATTCTTAATCAACTTTTCTTTTTTAGTAAGGATCTCCTCTATGTGAGGGAGCAGTGATGGACGCAGCATATAAGAATCATTTTCACCCTCAGGATCCACATCCAGATCACATGCAGACCTTAAACACTCAGCCGCTTTACTCCTCATCTTCTCTGAGGGGACATGTATGGAGTCTCGTGTGTCTGTGCCTCTCTGACTGTCAGAACATGTCGACAGATCTTTATCTTTGTCTACAGAGGTATGAATGTCAGTGTCTTTCAGAAGCAGGTGGATCCAGTAGCAGTGTGAACTGTCCATATCACGGCAGCAGGTCTGCAGCTGTTTGGCCTTGACGAGGAAGGGAACTGTCTCTGTCATCATGGAGACCGACCACTTCTCCTTCAGACCTTCGAGAAGAAAATCTTGCACCAATCTGACCGGGTGGACAGAACCGGAGCAGAGAAATCCCCTGATGAGTAAGAGAAGAGAGTAAGCACTTTCTTTACGTTGGTGGCTTCATACACAAACAGCATGAGCACCTCTGCGTTACTGTACCTGAACATATAATCACTGAGCTCAGCTGGTATGTTGAACTGGACTTTCTCCCCTTCAACCGCCTCCTCCAACTTTAGCTTCCCAGCAGAGACGTAAGGGAGGCTGTGAGTAAACACATGGAGCAAAGCTTTCTCCACATGAAAGCCTTTATCCTGGCTCCTGCACGACACCAACATCCTCATTATATGATCTGAGTATGCAAACGCACATCAAACACGCATGCACACACACGCACACATGCACGCACACACACACACACACAGGGCTGTTTCTATGTGTACACTGCAACACTCACCTTTACTGCTTACCTGTATCCAGTGCACTTGTAGCTCTGGTATTTCCCACTTTCAAAAGGACGGATGTCACTAAGAATTAGGTGCGCTTCTGCTGCCATGGCAGCCACCTGCCAGCTGTTGTGCCACTCTCGCCTCGGCTGGTCTGCCGGTGTCCCACCCTGTCCGTTGCACAGGGAAACGTGAACCTCGCCGTCTTCAGCCAACACCTGAACACAGCTGGAGGAACAGAAAAATGTATACAAAACTTTTTTCAGTTCAATAAAGTATGTAGACAATCAGCCCTTAATCATGATCATTCAACATTTTTTCAATGAATCTGTCTCTATCTATCTATCTAACACAAATATTTGACTTCCATTTATTAAAAGAACAAATATTATGAATCTCAATGAGCGTCCCACCCTCTTCTCAAGGTTAGGATTCCCAAAAGTGCTTTTAAAGAATCTTTTATCCCACAGCCATTATGCAGCTCAAAAGCATCAAATGAGGAACTTAAGCTAAGCAGGCACACAATTCTTATTTTGTATTTAATAATTAGCTTTCAATTGCCACAGGTAACTTTTTCGTTGATTTAAATATTTTACTCTTGTTACTACACAGAATTTTACATTATGTTGAAATGTTATTCCTGATGTTTTATATTCTTTTGTGTGCAATACACTAGTGAAAGATACATTTCCTTTAGTGCCTGCATTATTGGACAGTTAAGTTTTGAATTTTGAATGAATGAATTTTGATACCTAATAGTTGTCAAACTTGGTATTGACACATTTCAATCATTAAAAGCTATAAAACGTGGTTATTGGTTTGGTTTGAAAAATAGAAAGACTGGCTAATATAAGTAGATTAATAAATTAAAAATGTAGACTAACTCATTGACCAAACCAATCAAATTCCATCAGATTTTCTTTTTATTTGAGGTAAAACATACAAACAGGATGTCTGTAGATATGACTGATTACAAAAGTCCTGTGAAAAGACTGAACCCTGTGGTATGATGCAGTTATACCTGAGGAAGAAGTTTCTCAGGAGCTCTCGGTTCTTTTTGACCCCACTCTTTCTGCCTCTGTGAGGGAAGTTGAACAGCACACGGTCAAACACGCGGCCCTGCAGGGAGGCACATTCCCCCAGCTTCGTGCAGTCCACCCCGAAGAGCACAGTTCCACCTGAGCAACAAAATCACATCGATCGAGCAAGAAAAGACAAGAAGTGCAGCCAGTGAACAACATGAACATAAACAAACATGTACGACAAGCTGCAACAGGCGTGTACCGGAGTCCTCGATGATCTGGACGTTAGCGGCTGCACCTTCATGCCGCAGTGCCTCGTCCTGACGCTGCAGACAAGTGGCCGTGATGCTGGTGTCCGTGTCAGCGTGGGTCTGACTCATGGACGCAGAAAACGAGAAGTTCCCTTCTCCCACCAGAAGCATGGACCGTGAAGGAGACATGTCCACCTCGAATAGAAATGTGTGAAAACTCCCTGAAATAATCAAAACAGCGAAAACAACCTGCTCCTCCTTCAGCGACTGAGAGAGAAATTTAGAAAGATGCGACAGTGACAGTCGATCTCCCTCATCGACGCAGTGAAGGCATGTTTACAAGATGTCCGTATACTGTGTCGGTGACTGTCTCGGCTCACTGACACAGGTGAAATGAATTGTGATGTAGAATAAAGCTGCTGATCTCCTCCTCTGCTCCGCTGCGGAACATCGAGATGTCCCTCTCACCTGGAGACGCTGGCGTTGTGTCGCACACTCAGTCGTCCGGCATGAAACAACACCCGAGGAACGTTGCGGTGAGCACCCGAGCTCTCAAACGCGTACCTGTCCCAAAAAAGAGCAAAACAAACGCAGTTCACGTTTAAAGCCACGTGAGCGAATGTGTATTATACCCACCTCTTTATAATATTATAAACGAGTTGACAAATAAACGTAATTAAGATTTTTTTTTCCAACTCGTGTTTTCGGGGGGACGTGATTGCAGGGTGCAGCGTCACATCTGGAGGAGGGAGCCACACTCACAGCATCAGCTCATCCCAGCATCACTGCCATCGTTTCCTAAAGGGTTTATCAAAGAAGAACGTCCTGCTGACAGTTTATCTGATGTGCAGCGATCAGTTCCGCCCGGAATTTTAAGGCGTTTTGATCGCATCGGACGAAGGTAGCAAGTGAACATACATGCATGTTTCTTGCTGATGCTAAGGTCATGCTAGCTAACCGATGTTGCTGCACCTGCACATGAAAACAACAGACAGCCTGACATGATGCACAGTGTAGTGATCATCCCTGTGATTCAAGGTTCAAATCTAATATAAACCAATTGAAAAAATATTACGTTTGAATATTCAATTGTGTTTGCACCCTTTTGATGATGTCATTAATTTATGAATAACTGTCTCTGAGTGTATATGTTGGTGCAGCAACAGACCTGTACATATACTAATTATATCTATATACATATGTTATTTATATATGACATTGTCTGCACTCTATAAATATTGTGTCACAGATGTCAGGCTCGAGCAAACCACAACTTGACGAGGATAATCTGTATTTTCTGTTCTGTTTTTCATGCTTTCTGCTTGACCTCTGTTCTCTTCATGCAGGGATGGAGTCTGGAACATCCTACTGCAAATGGTCATCTTAAAACTGTCCTTTGTGTATTTTTTTGTGTTGTGTAGGAAGTGTTACACCCACATGGGCAGCGTCCTGGCTTTGTCCTCTGGTCCGGGCCATCAGAACTGGCCTTTCTCCCCGGACCCCCCTCCTTCCCGCTGGGACGCACATCCTGCTCACTGGGACAGTCCGCCGCGCTGGGAAAGGAGAGATGGCCGCCTGCCCAACCCAGGCAGCTTTCACTCTCTCCACAGAAGCTGCAAAGGTACTGTATGTCTTGGATAAGCTGCAGGAAGTGTGGCATGTACAATGATTCACAAAACTAAATACTCGATGCAGAAGGTCAACATCTTCCTGATGGTTCATTGGTCGCCAGATGTTTCAAAACCAATGTCAATATAATTGTCATTAAACATACAATATATTTACATCTATTGCAAATGTGTACATGCACTAAAATAATTTGTAAAAAACATATTTGTTCAGTTATAGCTTGTTTTAATTCTTCATCAGCCAAACAATTGCTACACAAAAGTCTTACTGAAATCAATCACCATTAGAAGTGCAGAATGATCAGGAGACCACAGTACCTGTAAATGCATTGAATTGGGCAATGCCCATTGATTAACAGACCAAATACTGTAAATGAGCCGGAGTTAGCTGTTTATGCAGATTTTCATCTGCTATTGCTAGAACCAGTTTTTAATATTACCTATCATTTATAAGATACAAACATCTATGTATAATACACCCAGTAAAAAAATCTAATGAATAAAATCATTCTCCTTTTCTTCTCAGATGTTTTTCCTCAACAGATTGAAGGAGTCAGGATGATCCTCAATAAAACTCTGAGCAGCTTCTTCAAGGTGAGTCTTCATCATGAGATAATAATTTACATGCAGGTGAAGACGTAAAGAGTATAAATGTTGTAATACCTGATGTTTACTTTGTGTATGTTTGCGTCCAGGCCAGTCATACTCTGCATCTCAGTGCTGTTAGTCCTTCGCACTATCGGTTCCATGTGGAGCATCTGCAGTCTGACGATTACAGCAAAGACAAGGTAAAGCACGAGTCATTAGATGATAAATACTTTACTGCTACTTTATCGTCATGTTTTTAACTACTATAATGAAGAAGAAAGAATTGCTGCTTTTATGAGTTGCCGGGTTGCACACTGATGCCTCCTCACATTTCAGGATGCCCCAGCACTGATCGGTGAATTGGACTCTTCAGGTAGCCTGAACGCTCACGCTCTGGTGCATCTCACTGAGCGTGTACGCGCGAGGACCGTCTTCCAGGTGAGGTCCTAATGTCCATCTCTTTCCTCATGTCTATCTATCACAAACCACTTTCACTTTCCATGTCTGTAAGTCAGTTATTTAACACTAAGTTCACGCTCTCTGCTGAAAAACCTCTCAACTTTTTTATAGACTCAGCAGTCCCAATTTTTAACGTGGCAGTTTGAGACCGAGTACAGAGGGAATGACTTCACTGCCGCTGTGACAGTAGCTAACCCAGACGTCCTCAGAGAGTCAGGTGATAAATGACACATGTAACAATGAGAGCTTCACCTGAGCAGTAGAGTTATTGATAAATTACTTTGCACCTGCATTTGTATGCAGACAAAAATATGCATATCAATGTTGGCTGATAGGTTTGGGGAAATTATATTGTTTCTCCTGATATGATATATTGGTAGAGCCTGACGAATTTATCAGTTGGCAGATATAAATTATGAAAACTTTAATTTTACTGAATGAACCATGCAGCACTGATGTGCATTTACAAGAAAAGTAATATATACTAATAAATACTTTAAATTTGGTTGTATGTGTGTTTTCTTTATATTTAGAATAATATATAATAAATTATATGGTTAAACTGTGAAAGATCAAACCTCAATTACATTTCTCATTTTGATAATCACATTTAAGGAATCATTGCCAAAATTTTAAAAATGTAAAAACTTATCAGCTGATATAGTGATATCAGAATTTATTTACACCTTAATCTCGGTATCGGTCCCCAGAAATCCATATCGGTCGGGCTCTAGTCATTACTTTCTGCCTTTAAACTGATTTATGGTACCACCTTACCCAATCTAATCTACTATGTGTCTGCAATGTATCTGTGTGTGTTACTCTGCGACAGTCATCCTTGTGGCACACTTCCTGCAGAGTGTGTCTTCTGGGCTGGTGTTAGGAGGAGAGCTGGTTTACCATCGCGGCAGAGCTGAGGAAGGAGGAATTCTTACTTTGGCTGGACAGTACTCGCGTGAGAATTTGGTTTTATTTATGAATCTACTTTTAAGCATCGACGTCATTTAGATGGCTCATTCTCTGAACTGTGATGAGTCATGGAGCTGCAGCATTTTTCTTCCTCTTGACGCAGGACCAAACTGGGTGGCTACGCTGAATGCAGGAAAAGGAGGTGCCCACGCCAGCTACTATCACAGAGCAAACAAACAGGTACAGCAAATACTGCCAGAGTGTATAAATACAACATATGCTTGCAATATTGATATTGCATGTGTGCATATTCACCAGATCCAAGTAGGAGTGGAGTTTGAAGCCAGTACTAGGACACAGGAGACCACAGCCTCGTTTGGGTATCAGATGGAACTCCCAGAGGCCAACATGGTGTTTCGAGGTAACTTTCTTTCTTATGTCATGTTTAAGGAAAATAATTCAGAAAACATAAAGAGACATTTTTCTGTGTGTGTATCCAGGTATGATAAACAGTCGGTGTATAATCGGAGGTGTGTTGGAGAAGCGCCTGACCCCGCTCCCTGCCACCTTGATCATGGGTGCCTTTGTAAATCACAGAGGTGACAAGCTGCAAGTGGGGCTCGGTGTCAATGTGGGATAATCCTCCACTAACCCCTGCTGGTAATACAGCCCAACGTGGGGAGGACCGTCCAGGGACCTGTTTGAGAGGCTTCACAATCACCCGACCTTCCAAGGTTTATTTACTTTGGTAAAACACTTGGAACCAGCAGAGTATTGTGGATTTTTTTTGGGGGTGTTGAAGCCCAAAATGTTTCCTTAATTTGATGCATCTAATCTTGCAACCTACCTCTCGAAATGGTGATGATGTTCTCTGATGGGCGACATGAGGATTACATAGACTGGATTAACATTTGAGGGGCTCCACATGTGACTTGAGATAAGTTTTTCTTATCAGACAGACCTTCTTGGACAATGGAAACAGAAAGGATAAGAGACATACTGTACTTTCATGTGAAAATAAATGAAAATTTTGTACTGTAGCTAGACATAGAAGAAAATGTATGTTTATAGATCGCATTCAAAGCTATTTATGTTTTTATGTTTTAGACCATTAACTAGGATTTGCGTATATCTGACCTGGATGTTGACAATTTTTTACAGCACATTATTGTGGTTTGTAAGAGTAATACATGATTTTTCCCATCATCCAGGCAGCCACTGGTTTATATACGTGCCAGTGTAATTTGAAAAATAAGCAACACTGACTCAGTGCAAGGCAAAATGCTTGAATGCACCAACATGGATGAGGTTTGAAAGAGTTTCTGCCCCACAGTATTACAACATGATGGTAACAGAGGAAAAATAAAGCCAATTAAAAATTCAATGATTTATTATCTTCAGATAGTTTCAGTGAGATGGTTTTCACCAAGTAAATCTCTAGAGGATTAATTTAAAAAACAAGTGTTCAGCAGGGACTTAGTAATTAGTCTTAGTAAATGGGTCATGCTGAAACATTGTATGAACCCTAAAACCGTGTGTTTGATTCTGTTTAATTGCCATCTATTCTTTGCCAGGGTATAAAAGTATTTGAGTGCTACCCACACGAACAAATGAACCGTTGCGTGTCATGTACTAACTCCAGTGAGGGTAGTGTGAGTGGCTGTGCTCTGTAACTCCATTCAACCAGAACTGTACTGTATGTATATAGATGAAGATCATGTGGAAACACTGACCTGTATGCAAACTGCACTACCCACGCTGCTTCTGGGCATTTCCAGTCCTATTTAAAAAATTAAATGTTTCATATATATCATTTATACATAATGTAATATAAGCATGGAGAGAGGTGGAGGGGGATGACTGTATTTTGGGGCTTAATTTAATAAAGATGTTATTTCTATTATAGTTGAACAGTTTTTTCTTCAACATACTGCAGTTCTGTAAATACAGTGCTGCACATTAATTGAGTTTTAAAGCCTCTATCAACAGTTCTTTATATTAACTGGACCAATTTGTTCTTAGTGACAAACCAACAGAAAACTGACATAATTCTAAACTTAGCGTCTTAGCCACCTTCAACTTACTGTTTAGATTTTTATTGTGTTTAGTTTAACATCTAGTAAACTTTAGAGCCAGACATTTTTCTCAGACACCTAAATTGGAGGTTATGCTTTAACCAATGTTCCCTGAGGGAGGGAAACGAGGTACAACACATCAGTTGATGGGGTTAGGATGAATCTGCCATTTACTGATTGGTTGTACTGAATGTACCCACGAAAGGAAACAAAGCTAATAGGCGAGTGACTATTGGACATTGATGGACAGAAAAACAAGAAATGAATGTGTCGCACCCTTTCTGGTGCCTTTACTTTCAAATATGTTCACCATAAGAATTGTTTTGTCCCTCAAGGTTTGTTCCAACAGCAGCTGTAAGCGAGTTAGCAATGGAGACACTGAGCATGTCTGTGATTGTGCTCCTGTGTATCGGCACCAGAAACTGAGGTGCTTTCTGGTAATGTCCTGTTTCTCTCCTTTTCACCCTTTCCCTTTTTATGAAGCACTCTCATAAAGAACCAGAATTGTGTAACATTTTCAGACAGTCAGGGTGGCATGGTGGAGCATCGGTTATACTGTGGCCTCACAGCATGGAGGTCATTGGTTCAATCTCTAGTTTGGGGTTTGCACATTCTCCCCTCGTCTGCATGGGTGCAGGTACTGCCACCCTCATACAATCTAACAACATGCAGATTGGGGTTAGGTCGTCTCAAGACTCTCCCTGTGATACGCTGGCCACCTGTCCAGAGTGTTCCCCCGCCTCTTGCTGATTGTCAGCCAGGATTGGCTCCAGGTAACGGGTGGATGGATCTTTGTGTCAAATTTGTGCTTTCACTTTACAATTTACATGAACTTTGTATCCAAAACAAATGTTTCTCTATTAGAACCAAACCAGACATTTAGAAAATACATCATTAATACTACAAAGCAACTACAATGTTGTAAAACCCATTATTCATTAATTGCTTTTAAAACCTTTTAATATAAAATGTTAAAAAGTGATATTTCTGTAACTGTACATCCATATATTGTATATACAAACATATTCATATGTAAGGTGTGTAAACATTTGACTTGTTGATTCTGATAACAGCACATGTGGCAACATCAGCTCACAGTGTCAAAGACAAAGGCTGATTCTCAGTCTGTTTAAACTGCTGACAGTTATTTGTCTCTGAAAAAGGAGAAGAATTTTTTCGCTCCTTCTCCCTTCACTTTCAGAGATTTGCTTCTCTGGAGTCCCACTGTGTTTTCTCTCTCCTGCTCTTTGTCCTTCTCTCTCTTCTCCTCCCGTTGCTGCACCTGCTGATTGATCACCAACCGCATGTCCTCCTGCAACAAGACAGAAAAGAAAATCAACCTCCATTTGTTGCCTAAAGGCATTGTTTTGAATTTTTAGTTCCATACACACAGACCCACCTGCCAGGCTTCCAGCTCCTGAGACAGCGCCACCTTGTGTTCGATGGTGTTGAGAAGCTGCTGAGTTAGGGATTCTTTCTCCAGGCGAACTGTGGCCAACTCACTCTCTAACGAACTGAACATTGATGAACATAGGAATTATCAAAATATATGTCACTGTGGTTTCTAATGAAATCAGTCAAAGTCAAATCAACAAATGTGCTGCTGTTTATCGTCACCTGTAGCTCGGCTTGTCTTTACTGCCTCTGAACTGCTTGATTTCATCCCTCAAAGTCTCTAGCTCTTTTCGCTGAGACTGTAGCTGCAGAGTGGGAAAGAAAAAGGCATATCATAATATTATATTTTTTCTTTTTTTAAATAGGCAGAGATCCTGAGATCTTCTCCAGGAATGTTTTAAGACATATCAAAATAGTCTACTTTGAAAAATGCTTACTCTTTCCTCCACAATCTACAAACATGCAAATAACTTCTTGAGTACTGGACACAAGAACTAAAAAGTCTATTATCGATGTTTGTAAGTCCCCACATCACACTTGTGTAAATTGTTGATAGTGGACCACAGCTGACACTAAACTAGTTTTGATATCAATGACTATAGTTTGTACTTTCACTCACTGCAGACAGAGTTCAGCTAAATGCAGAGGAAACGTCAAATCCACCTAAATCTGGATCTAGTGGGTTTGAATGTGGTTTCATGGAGGAATAGGCTTTTTCAGCCACAGTGTGATAACAAATGTGTAGCTTTAAAATAACATAATGTGGCCTTAGCTATAAAGATTGTTTGAATTTAAGGGCACTGTGGGGACTTTCTAGTTTCTATTGTTGTATTTGGTAGCAAAGATTTCACTTTTCACTGTTATTCATAACCCACTGAAATGGAAACCACCATTTTAAATTGTGTGAGTGTGTGTGTGTGTGTGTGTGTGTGTGTGTGTGTGTGTGTGTGTGTGTGTGTGTGTGTAGTTCGACAGACCTCCTCTTTGAGTGTCTGTATCTCTTCGTCTCTTGCTTGCAGGACTGTAGAATGAGCTAGAAGAGCCTCTTTAGCCTGAACAACAGGAAAAAACCGAAGGTTCACAGAGTTCACAACATATATTAGAAGCTGTTTGTGCTTTTCATGCAAACAGGCTGAGAATGTCAGAAAGCAGTTTAGTATCAAAGTGCTGGTGTGAGTAGGGTCAGAGTTAGTGCACATGTTGTAGAGGGCTGTTATTGTGCAGATGCTGGTGGTGCGTGTTGTGTGTCTCTCTTGTGTGTACCTGTGATTGCTGAATCTCACTAAGCAGAGACAGAGGTTGTGTGTGAGCACTGTCCAGGATGCTCTCCTCTCCCAGGCCCAGAGCCTTTTGCTGCAGAGAGCGATTCAAGGTACGCAACTCAAACACCACTCCCTGCTCCTGCTCTATCTATATGTAGACACACAGACACACATGCAGTGAGACAAAGACACACAATCAAGCTTAGTCGTGTTAGTGTCTTATTCTGTTAGTGGTGAGTGACACCTCCTGCTGCACATGGATTTCTCTCCCTGTTCCCTCAGTGACTGATCCTCACCTCTGCTTCTCTTTCCTTTAGTTTCATCTGCAGGTCAGATATTCTCTCTCTCTGTCCCTCTCTCTCCATTCGGATTCTGTCGCCGTCCTCCTGTGAGGCTTTGAGTTGTGACTCCATGTACGACAGCCGCTCCAGCAAAACTCGGTTCTGTGCAGGAGGGAGGGAAACATGGATGAAAATTAGGATTAGGATGTAAATACTGCTTTAAATCTGAGACAGGCACTGGCTGTAGGATTGTGCTTCTGATCAACATTTAAATACATTTGCAATTCATTTGTAAACAGACTTGAAGCTTTGACATACATCTTTGCATAATGGGTAATGTGTCTTTTAAATCCTAATGCATTTACTCCATATTGTGCTTTTATATCCTCGCCCTTCCTTTTTTTCAATTGGTAACTTTTGAAAGGTGATTAAGTGATTTCCATGAAATTTGGTGTTTGATGCAGCTTGATTGAATTTAAAAGGACTGTTAGGCTATGGCAGAGGTATGCACTCATGTCAGAATTAAGCCACCAAAACATCAAGTCTTGACTTAGCTCGAGACGTCAAAGCAAAGTGTCTTTGTTTTCGACTTGATAAAATCTCAAAGCAGTAAAATGTAAAGCGACTGCAGGCAGGCCTTAGATAGTACACCATAAATATTTAATTTTTATGACATATTTCTTTGATACAAAGCCCAATATTGAAAACAGGTTCATGGTCTCAACAAAACTCTTCCAGTTTGAAATGTTAAGTATACCTCTGCTTGAATATTCTTTATCTGTGAGAAGCTGATATTTCTGCTGAAAGACGATTCTTCCATCTCTTCCCTGAGGGAACGAAGCTCAGTCCTCAAGGAGTGCTCCAGTGTTACAGCCTAGATAGGAGGGAGATGAAAAGGTTTTAAAAAAAGGCTGTAATTCAAGGAGTGACAAAGATAGAACTCCCAAAACCTGCTTGTCTGCATTGTTCTCTTCTGTGAGACTGTGACATTACGCCTAACTGACGCAGACACTTCCCACTCACAGACACACCAAACACCTAGATTCTCTTCATTCTAACAGCATTACAACAGAATCATGACGTTTCTCTTTGGCAGGTATCAAGGCTGCCCTCAAACCGACCTCTGCCATCTGCTCCACCAGTCGCTGGTTATGATTGGACAACTGAGTCAGCTGCTCGCTCTCGTCTCTCCTGCGGTCTCTTCCCTGGCTGTGGTGGCGCTCCAGCTCGGCCCTCAGGGAGATCAAATCCGCCGCCAGCTCTGCCTCTTTCTGTCCAGAGTCCAGTTCACTCATCTCCAGCCTCCTCTGAAGAACATGCTTCTCCTGCTGTAAAACCTGAGACAGTGAACACAACATGAACTGACTTTGAGACACTATGAAAATATCAGACACTGAAATAGATGGGTCATTTTATTTCTGCCTTCTTTTTGCTTTGAATCTGAAGTGAAATGGTAACATATGCTGGTTTCTATAGGCAGGTTAGTCTTGGCTTAGGGAAAGCACAAGTATTAGATTTTGAGTGCCCAACGCTCTGTTCTATTACGTATTGCAGGAAGCTATGACAGTGAGTCTGAAAACACAATGACAGGTCCCTGAAGCTGAGACAGCTAAATGGAATCCAGCCAACAGTAATATTATCTGTCACATGTCATATTGTCTCATTATAATAGGCTTATCATAGGGACAGCTTAACACTGACAAAGCAATAAATGTATATAAATGTGAAAGTAATTTACACAGAAAAAAACACTTAAAGAATACAGCAGTGTTCAAAACTGTTGCAATAACATTACCTTTACTATTCACAATTTTAGGATAATATCTAATAATATTTGATGTGCAATGAAATTCTTTTTGCATGTTTCTGCTCATTAGCTATAGTACTTATGTGTAATTTTTTTGTTTGTTTTTATGTTAGTTTTATATTCTATGTATTTTTTAATCTATTTCAGTAGATTAGATGGAATTAATATAAAATTGGATAAAGTGAGTTGATTTTGTTTTAAAGTAGTTAATAAATTCCGCACAACAATTACACTGCAGGCTCGAATCACCCAGGTGTTGATTTGCTTGTGGGTAAAAGTTTGCAGTTCCCACGTCTTTATAGTTTTTATTAATGTTGGAAAACATCATAATCAAAGTGATTTATATCCACCTAGTCCTTACCTCTAGCTCCCTCTCCCTCTGCTCCAGAGAGGCCGCCAGCTCCTCATTCTTCTCCAGCAACGCCTGTCCAAGCTCCGCAGCCAGGATCAGATCTGTCTCTATCTCACCTGTACCATCGAGACAGCCAGAAGAGGAGCCAGACGAAGGGAGAGCAAAGGAGAGAGACATTGAGGAAGATGAGGACAGAGGGAAGAAGGAGTCCTCCAGGCTGGGGGAGGGCAGACTGTTTTTTCTCGGGGTGAACATTGTTGACAGTTGCAGGTTTGTGGGATTCGGTTAGAAAAGCATCATCCCAGGTCTTGTAATCCACACTCATACAGGAGTCAAGAAGCGGCCATGTTCTTTGTTTGTGTACAATCAGGAATCCTGTTCTGTTTGAGTGAGTAGTCCAATATGTCTCACTTCCTCACTGTGATGCCAGTGGTCCTGATGCTGGGGTCATTCAAATCTCTGTCTTCACAGATAACTCTGTGGGAAAAGGAAAAACCTTCAGTAACACAGAAGAGCACAATAAACATATGTGTCAACTGTAACGGTGAAAATCAGGACATGATGATGTGAAAACCATACGAGTTGTTTTCTAGTAATACAATCACACTTGGCCTTTCAGGAGATCATTTGCCTGAAGGGCGCTTTTGTTACTTTGACCGAAATACCAGCTCCTCTGTTGTGTTTGTCCTGCCCCCTCCCTAAATTCCAAAGGCATTGTGCTCCACTGTTATCTACAAATACAACAAGTCTTAACTCTACTCATTACAAGTCTCTAAAATAGTCAATTTTAACCAAATCACTCAGACCTAATCACCACCACATCCACCTTCTAAGTCTATAATAAGGCTCCATGAGAGGTTTTTACAACATATTATAGTTTCCTGTCACTGCAGGATTATTCTGTTCATATAAACTGAATGTCGGTCTGAAGTCTCCTCAGTTTCACCTCAGCCATTTGTCTGTCTTTACACCTGATGTCACCATATGTGTCACCTGTTATGGTAACTCCCCATGAAACCACGCTGTTATTCAACTTAAAATCATTATGAAAACAAAATAACGAACTCACTCCAGTTATAATTAGGATGTTTTCCTTATCTGAAATGAAATAACCTGTTTTAACTAAAGAACAAATGTTAAATCTGTCTTACCTGTCAGTTCCCAGCCAACTTGCACTAAACAGGTACAGTCTTCCTGTTTGGTGAGTGTGAGCTGTGCGTGTGTGTCTGTGAGTGAGGGTGTGTTTGAACAAGAGAGGCTCAGCTTGTTTCCTTGGCAGTGGAAACATACAGCCTGTAAATACAGCCAGTGGCTCCACCTCTAAAGTTAAGGTAAAGGGAGCAAGAAGTGGAAGGAATAAGCAAGGAGAACAGGGAAGATGTGGAACAGTGTAAATTAGTCATTGCTCTGACATCTAGTGGTTGAATAAGGTCGGAAACAGACAGTATATTAACTCGGAGGAATGTGTTGTTGCAAAGGCCAACATTATGCAGTTTCAGTGGGGAAGAACCAGGGTGAGATGGGGTGAGGGGGAGGATAGGAGACAAACCAGAGTCTGTGTAATCTGGACCTCCTACTCCTCCTCCTCATCCCCCCATCCTGTTTACCTGCTTGTGGGTTGAAAGGACCTCTGTGTGTGTGTGTGTCATTACAACTCTTTTTCAGAGACGGCAAACAGACAAAAGGGGAACAAGCTCAGAGACCATAGGATCATTCGTTGCGTTCACATACAGACATGTCTTGCAAACTCTGGCTCGCTCTTTCAATCTGGCTTTTGCTGGCGACATGTGAAGCTGGAAGGCAGATGCCAAAACTCTCCGAAAAGAAACTCTGCACTGATTCTGACTGCAGCCGTAAGTAGCACAACTTCCTTTTACTGCACATAGTAGTTGGCTGCTGCAGCCACCGTTGCATGCAGACCTAAAGATGCACATAAATATGGGCAATATCATGAACTGCAATAGTCCTTTCTATGATGCCTTCTTTCGTATCCTATCTCACATCACTCTCTTGCATAATTTCTCCTCAGATCCCATCTTGATAGCTCGTGCAGTTCAGGACTACTATCCTGGAGACTGCAGGTTCATCCACATCAGACAGGGCCAGCTGGTTTATGTATATGCAATGCTAAAAGACAGAGGGAACCTCTTCTGGGCTGGCAGTGTGAGTACAACAAACATTTAGTTTATATGGGATAATAAGTCATAAGACATAAGAAAACCATGTGCAGCAACATTCATTGGTGCTGTCCACAATGTTTGTCTATAATATTTGTCTGCAGGTTCAAGACTCTTATTACGGACAACAGGAGGCTCGCATTGGCCACTTCCCCAGCAGCGTTGTGGAGGAGACACATCCTCTCATGCCAGCCAGCACTGAAGTCAGAACTACTGTAGGTGGACAAACACACACACACACACACACACACACACACACACGTTTATTGCTTTCATCTAATTCTACCTCTTTTTTGTTTCCAGAAATGGGACTTCTACTGTAACTGAAGATGATGACAACCTTTAAATACTTACATACTTTCTCACTTGGTATCAAATGATCTTACACACATTGTTGATGGTATAGTATATGTACAGTATATCTGTACTGCTGATAATCTGCATTGTAGGAGAATATGGGCAGCAGCTTCATTTAGCCACAAATTATTGCAGAACGCAATTATATTTCATCAGGATTTCCAAGCGTTGAAATATAAACCATTGTTGTTGAAAGCTTTGTATTCCTCCTCCATCTGTCTAGTTTACTGATTCATAGAAAAGTATCTCGCCTTCTTTCTATGTAATACTGCCTCGTGCTGTTTATGTCTGTTTTGCAGGTATTGAATGTGTTTTAAGAAGAGAAAAATATGAATTGTGTAGATTTTCTTTCTCCACTACTACAACACCTGCCTTTTCTTAATTGTGTATCACTGAAAAATATGAATCCAACTAATAATGTTGTCAAAGAAGTTGTTTTCTGCTTTTATCCCCCAATATTTGATTAATGAATTATGTTAAGAGGAAATAGGGATATTTACAAGATAAGCTATAATGTTATTGGACTTGTGCTGGTATATTAATACAGATTTTGAAAGTCTAGACCTGACAAAAACCAATAAATACCTAATTTCTTATTGTGATGGTTATTCACATGAATAAAACCTTTGTTTTTTTGTAAATGAAACAGACAAAATAAATATCAGGCCTGTTACTTTAAGTTTCAACATTTTATTCTATTTGATAATGGCCGTTCCTTTATATTGTAAGAGCTAAAAATGTCTTCTTCTACAAGCAAATATACACACACACACCCCTCACTACAGAGAACACACATGGTCCCAAGTCCTTTGGAGGTGTTTTTTATTCTTACTGAACAACCATAAAATCACTGAATGTGCCTCCAGAGAACTCCTTCCTCCTGACACGTACTGAAACCAACACTAATCTCATACAACAATCAAGTTGACATCTTACTCATACCCACACTGATATTAAAACAATTCATTCTAACAATTTTAGTCTGTTATCATCTTCAGTTGACAATTTTGAGAGGAATTCCTGTAAATTAATTTTTCTTTAGCATTTCCCAGTAGTAATAATAAAAGCTGCAAACTGGGTTAGGTTCAAAAAATWATTTGTCACCCAAGTGCAGGACCAGATTAGACATGGTATGTTATAAAATGYCTGATGTAGATATGGAATTCAAATAAGAATGACATGACCTTGATTAGTTGGATTTTAAGTAAAGCACTTTGAATTGCCTTGTTGTTGAAATKTGCTGTACCAATAAACTTCCCTTACCTGATGGTGGATGTGAATATTTTACGTTTTAAAGTTATTTTGATAGAAAAATCAACTACAACTCACAACAGTGTGTCTCTGGAAAACTTCAATATGGTGTCAACTATACTCAACATGTTAGTCTTTTATTAACACAACAATTCATCTTGCTGTGACACCATCTGGAGTTTCTGGTTTAYTTTAAGCCACTTACACATGCAGACATCTAGACATGCATGTTCCACCTWCATGTGTCTCAACTGAGACAGGTTAAACACAACAACAGGCAGCACTTCTGGTTAGAACTGAAACAGCGTCAGGCTTTGCTCTACATTTTCTGTTTTGGTGTCCCATCCTCACAGGAGATGGGAATACTACGCTCTGGYCCAGGAGATGACCGAGGTGCAGTTATTATCAGCACACCATCAGATGACAGGTTGGCGGTGACATCAGCACCTGACACGCCGGCAGGCAGCCTGTACTTCCWGTGAAACTCTCTGGACACAAAGCCATGGTCGTCCTGGAAACAGATTTAGAGTCAGTGCATCAGTAAGGTGTCACCAGATCTGTGTGATTATTTCTGCAGACCTCTGTTGTCCCTCTGACCTGTTTCTCCTCGTGTTTGCCATGTATTGTGATGAWCTCGTCACWGATGTTGACACACAGCTCGTCAGGGGAGAAGTGCTTCACATCCAGATAAATGACGAAGCGATCCCTTTCCATGCGCATCTGTACAGACCGTACAGCTGTTAGGACCAGGACTGAATAATGAGTCAGTCGGGCAGAAAGACTCACAGCACCACTGCTGCATTTTTGACTCAGTCATCATCAGTGGTCTGTTACATCACGTTCCACAGTATCTGTTATCACTGATTATATCATAAGTCGGGTTAGAAGTAATGTTTATTTTCAGACTGCAGTAATTTTGTCAGATTGTGTTAGGGACATATTCATGTTACTTTACCTCACTGTGTCCATTGTCGGGCCAGTTGAACCAGCGCATGAACGACGGGCGCGTCCAAGGGTAGGCCCATGAAAAGGGCCACATGTGGGGCCAGTCCATAAGAGGTTCTGTCTGGGGGAGGTCAGAGAGCCGCTGAGGGAAGGCCCGACGGTACCAAGGATACTGGATGGGGATATCCATGATGAGATTTCAGGAGAGATGAAAAAATAAACAATAGATGTGAGCGAGGTTGATTCTTGGTTTGACTTGGATTGCCGTGGGTGCTGCTGCACCTTATTTATAGGCCTTTCCCCCGGGCTCTGTCTGTGCTCACGTCCTCTGCATACCCCCTCCCCTCCATAACCTCCCATGCACACTTGCACAGTGACTCTGCCAGCAGGCTGATTTTTCTGGAACAATGATGTCAACTATTTATCCCTCCATCGCCCTCATTGTTTCATGTGACCGCCTGTGACTGGTTGTCTCTCCCTTCTCTGGGTCATGAGGTGACACTGGCTCAGAGTACTGCTGATGCCCCCATACTCATTCCCCAGGAAATGCGCCTGTCTGGTGTGAGTGTGATTAGTTTGAGGAATAGCTGCCAGAGCATTAGCTTGCTGTGCTTCCAGTGCCAGAAGCTTTAGGTTTGTGAGCAGAGTGGACGTGTGGGTTGAATGGGAATTGATGAGTTTGTAAGGGACAGTATTAGGTGACACTGAGCATCATTTTGCCATGGGCTCAGAAAAAAGTTCCTTCCAACCATGGTTCAGTTGTGCCAACCAAACATCTTTCTGAGTCTAACCAAGTGTTGGTTTATGTGACTTATTCTATGAACAAGAATAATTTTTACTTTCAGTAATAAGCCAGGAAACCATCCAATGGGACCCATTATAAATGTATAGATTATGGGCTGTGATTTTGACAAGCAAAGATGATACATCATGACAAAGCAGCAATTACAGGATCAAAGTGTGAGGAGTCAACAATTTAAAGAGCATGTATCTCTCTATAGTTCTAACCACCTGTCTTAAAATCCAGACCAAGTGAAGCTGCAGCAGTAAAACCTATAAAGTTGAGAAAATGTGTGTTTTACTTATCATGAATAAAGCAGTTTTATTATTACTTCTTTCAGAAGTAAGCCTTTTTAAACTGATCATGACCTTTTTTTGTGTACACATTTGATTTTATCTAACACTTGCAATAATGCTCAAGGACACAAATTAAAATATAAAATGTAATAAACAAATTAAAAATACATATAATCTTACATTCTGCTGTCAACCTGCCTCCCAGCTCCTGTGCGTCGTTACCATGGTAACATCACCCTGGTAACGCGCCCAGCCTCAGCGGCCTCGGGCAGTTTGTTGTTGGATACAGGAGCTAGCATGAACACGTTGGTCGGTTAAAGTTAACTTCGCGGCTGCAGAGATGGAGTTTCCGGCTTCATATTACGGGAAACTTGATAAAAGAAACCCGGTGATCTCAGCGTTTGAAGGGGACATTAACTCGTTTATGACTCTGATGAAACGAGTCGCCTCTTCAAGCAGCAAAGACAACAGCAACTCGTATGCTAAAGGGTAAGATGCTAAAGGCAAAGCTACCGTCAGCTAGTTAAAGTTAACTCTAGTTACCGTAAGTTCCATGCAGTGAATTACTCTAGTGACTGGTTAAAGTTAACTCTGGTTACCTTTAGCTTCATTCAGTTAGTGACTCTACTGACTGGTTAAAGTTAACTCTAGTTACCGTTAGCTTCATTCAGTTAGTCACTCTACTGACTGGTCAAAGTTAACTCTAGTTACCGTTAGCTTCATTCAGTTAGTCGCTCTACTGACTGGTTAAAGTTAACTCTGGTTAATGTTAGCTTCATTCAGTTACTCACTCTACTGACTGGTTGAAGTTAACTCTAGTTACCGTTAGCTTCATTCAGTTAGTTGCTCTACTGACTGGTTGAAGTTAACTCTGGTTAATGTTAGCTTCATTCAGTTAGTCGCTCTACTGACTGGTTGAAGTTAACTCTAGTTACAGTTGAATTGTGTTATTTAACTTTGCTGTTGTTTCTGACAGTTGTACGTCAGTACGGTACAAAACGGTTTTAGCTTGGTTTCACCTTTGACAGCACGTACTGTAACTTATATATATATGGACCACTAGTAAATAATACTACGTTTTAACACGAGACTAGACTACTACTACTTATTAATTCTACTTATTTACATATCATAGGGAAATATTGTACTTTCACCACATATATACATATACACAGTGAATGGAAGAGGTGCTCCAACTTTAGAATAAGTTTGATATTACATTTTTATTATTTAGTGTTCTCCTTCCAGTCTAGTGAAATCGATTATAACTTTGACTTGTCTTTAATTTGATTTTCAGGATTAAACTCTTAGTGGATATGTGGAGAAAGTACAAACATCGACTGCCTTCGAAGATGTATCAGGAGCGTATGTTGCGGGTTGCAGACTTTCTCTTTGGAATAAAGGTAATTTCATATGAGTTTGTACTAAGTTTGGCCCAAGTCAGTATGCATAGTGTATATGTGTGTGTATATTTCTATTCATATATACACACAAAACATTACATATATATAAAAAAAAATATATTCAACTGTTCAAGCTCAACATTAACATGTTTAATGGGTTTAATGCTGTGGCTAAATTCTGTATTTCATAACAGTATAAATTGATTTGAGATGCAAAATAACATTTTGTGGAAATGGTTGTTGGACTTGGACATGTTTTTTTGGTCATTCGCAACCTCTTATCCTCTACTGTTATCTGCTGTTGCTCGGTTCTTTGCTCTCCTCAGAGTTTAATGGAGATAACTGCTGAGTGTTGGTCCCTTTATTAGCACAACTGACTGCAGCCATTGGCTAAGGAGTTTCTGCCCAGCAAACATCCATACTTTCCACTAAGTCTTTCTTCTTTCTCCTCTTCATCTGTAGTTATACGAATTAGCTCTTTGGCAGGGCTACAGTCACCATCTGCTACAGTTCAACTCAGTGGTAATAACTGACATTACAAGTGTGGACCACTTCATGGCCTGCTTCTTCCCTGAAGGTTTTGATACAGACCAAGATGTCTTTGTCATGAAGGTACGCTGTGATATGTCAGTCTCTCTGTGTATGATATGTTTGACTGCTGACTAAAGTAAAAAGATGATTGTTTATATGAAGAAATATTGTCATGTGTAGAAAGGTCTTTGATATTCTGAGTTGTTTGTACCTGAACCTTGATCTTTGTATTTGTGTCTGTGTGTGTGTATGTAGATTCGTGCAATGCAGGGTTGTGCCCTGTGTATATTTGAGCTGGAGAAAAGACGCTGCGTTCTCAGGCAGGATGGACTCAGTAAACTACTTTGTGTGCTGAACTTTATCCGGATCATGATGCAGGCTTTTCAGCAACATGAGCACCTCTCCTGGCAAATATATAATGGTATTGTTATTAAGTAGTTTAACTTATATCATTTATATCATAGAAAATTTCGGAAGAAGTAGTTGAGTTATCAAAGTGTGTGACAGGTGGTTAAAACAGAGATAATGCGTGAGGTCCAAGATACAAGGATTGTATGAAAATAACACTAATGTTTCAAGGGTATTTTAGTATTCCCAGAAATATACTAGCATTAGTCTTTGAAGAGCACGATTTAGTGAAAATGTCATATTATGAAATGATAATTCATCTGTTGTTTAAAAATATGTGAGAAATACTATAAAATCTACTGTGTTTAATATCGCATTGTAGAACTCATCTCATACTGTTCATCTTTGTATTTTTCTTTCTAATCTTTTCCAGGTTCAATACACATTTACACCATCTGTCGTTATCTGATGACCATGAATTATAGTTCACAGGTACTGAAATGAAGCTTATGTGACTGTTTTTCTTTTGAAAAGATTGTTTTTGTCATGTCTGAAATTAGTGTGAGTTGTAACTGTCACCATGTGTGATCCTATTCAGGCTCTGGAGTATCTTCTGTGGGCAAGCATCAGTTTAGAGCTGTCCGTCCCTCTGATGACTGCTAAGTATCTGTCATGGATTGTCACACTCTACAGTGCTGTCTGCCACTGTTACTATGACAACCAGGCTGCAGTGCAGGCAAAGGTGATCATCAGCATTTAGACACATACAAACACACAATCATCCAAATGTCAACCAACTCATCTCAGCCCAATACAAGTTTTAAATATCTAAATGTCATCTGTTCTCAATCTATCTGGTCCTAGATCTAATTTATCAAAAATAAATTATCTATGACTATATCATAAAATTATGCATCTGTGTTTTTATATTTGCTGTAATGCTTTTAATGTATTAAAGTAAAATACTTTGTAACTTGTTGGCAAAATATGAATGAATATATAAATACTGTGTATATTGATCTGACATAGAAAGGGTTCGTAAAATAAATGTCATTTTTCTTAAAGTCCCATTCCCCATTTGTAAAGTTATTTGTGTGTCTCTCAATGGGTTCAGGAATTTGCCAGGCGAGCCCTTGGAAAAATCAATGAGCTGGCAAAGTTTGAGGAGCAGAGTGAAGTTCCTGCCACCAGAGAGACTCAGAGAGCTTATAAAGAAGCCTCAATCAAGGCAGGAGACTCCTCTCATCCACACATACTCCTAATACTGTTGCTATGATTCACAATTTTACTCTTCTCACTGACTGTGTTTCACATTCAGGACACTCTGAGGCCAGAATAACATTATTTTCATTATACTTGTTTTGCAGCTGGGTGCCATGATGTTCAAGCGGGCAGTGTATGAGTCCAAAAGGAAACCCAAACTTGTGGTCAAAGTCAAACCTAAAAGCACCCTTAAAGAGATTCCTAATGTAATAAGATCCTCTTTAATGCTGTGTCATCACATTCAATGTTAAATTTCATACTTAAATGCTGCTTTACAGGGCAGAGTGTTTGTTTTTGAGGGAAGCAAATTTTGTTCCTGTAACATTACTTAAAATTGTATGCCTTGTGTATCCACTGTAGGTGCCATGGCCCCGCAATGCAACAGAGCGCATGCTAATGGCCCAATTTGACAGCGGTGCAGCACAGTTTTTGGGCATCTTAGAAGCACTTTGGGACAGCCCCACTCACCTGCTGCAAACAAGGATGCCAGAAGAACCAGAGTTACAGGAAGTGATTGTGGAACTCATCTCTGCTGGCATCAGTATCTTATCTGGTTTGTAAAACAAACACATGGCTGAAAACCACTGCTGTGATTTCATTACGTTCATCATCAAGAGCAAATTTGGAAATTAATTGAATGAATG